CTTCCTCTGCCAGCCACAGGATACGAACCAGCAACCTTCCAGCCACAGGCGCAGATCCTTAGCCACAGAGCCACCACAGTGCCCAGACTGACATCATTACCAAAGCCTGGGGCAATCTCTTTCGTTCATTTTTCCCCCAAGTAAAATTCACTAAAAACCTCTTTCAGAGGTGAATTGTTACTAAAAGCCACAATATGTTGTTGGGCAGGTGGTTTCTTTGGGAACACAGTCACCAGTCTCTGCTCCCTCAAGGCCACAAGTCCATTAAACCTTAACTGTGTGAATTTAAATCTTTATTGATCTTGAGCTGCTGAAGAATTAAAGAGAGATGGAAATTCTGCCCAGCTTTGGGGATCTGTTTCACAGGAGAGAGGAAAAAAAAACTTTAGAAAGGCAATCAACTAGGTTCCTTTAAATTAAAATGTAGAGATGAAAATGAACTGTCCTAGGCTCCTATCCTTTTATTCTATACCTCCTCCCAATAAACAATAAGGAGAGTTTATTTATTTTCAACCTACATCAAAACGGGTTAGCTCTAACTTCATGTTGGAAGAAACTGTATTTTTTAGGCACCTGCAAGTTTTTTTTGCGTTCAGACTGAATTAATTAGTTGTGCAAGGCTTGGCGATGATGGCTTTACAGGGAGTATAAAAAAAATAATGTTTTTATTCTGAGAAAAAAGTGAACAGTCAAGGACTAACAGCTGCTCAGTTAGGACACACTTCGAGTTTATACATGGGAGAAAGAAATAGCGGCAGTTTCCAAATTTGATTTAAAGTTATATTTTTTATTTTTAAATCCTTAAAAACCTCGGAAGGGTTCCAATATTTAACAAAACTTAGTTTTGGTAGCAGTTTTCTACCGTGTTTTAATGTCGGAATACAGTCCCGCAAATTGCCAACTGATTTATTGTAATAAACAGACCGCTTAAAATAGACGCTTGCACGTCTGTGCAAGAGAAATCCCCCTATCGATTAGAACGATCTTCTCTCATCTACTATTTTAAACCTAATTCGATTTACACAAAACAACATTTTAATTTCCATAACATAAATTTAAAAATTGCCACGTATTTCCCATTATATTATATTCACGTATTTAGCTAATCCGACAAGTCGCGCCTTAAAAAAACAATTTGGCCCAGCGAACAACGGTCACCACGGACTAACTTTAGCATTAGTCACGCAAACAGTGGGAACGCGGCCCTTTTTTTTTTTGCTCTGTATTTAAATAGACACATAAACGATAAAGGGGGGGACATATTCGACGTATTTTCTAATAACGAAACCCCCCAAAACATTTCGAGGATCCTTTCCAACAGCAAATTGAAAATGATTAACTCTTTGCCATGTTTCGAATGCCCCCTGCCGGACCACTGAAACATGGGCAAAAAGGGGAGCTTTGGTAATTTAAAACCCTAATTCAAAATAAATATTTCCACACAACAGCATTAATCCACATATTATGTACTATAAATTCAGAAATTGCCGTTTAAGACTAAACTCATTTAGGAAAATAAACGTATTCCTTAGACGTGTGATGGAATAGCTGCGTCGTCTCCCCCAAAATCCGTTTGGAATGGTTCGCCCCAAGGGTTACAGGAAGTTGTAGCAGCTGCCATGTTTAGCTGCTTTGTTGTAGATTTCTTGTAGGTTTCCTGCAGATTTTTTTTTAAGTGTTGCAATGGAACCGAGCTGGAGTACATTTTTATTTCAGGTAAGCTGGCTCATCGAAGCGCGGAAGAACCCCTGTAAATTAATCGGGAGCCCAACCCCGCGAGTCCCGCGGTCCGCGTTGGTTTTTAAAAGGTTTAATTTTAGGTAAAGCTATCCAAGCAAAACAATGGTACATCAATCCCTGGTTTCCAGCTGTGAGGTGTAGGGCATGACGCTTGGAAAAAAAAATCTGGACTCCGTTCTTTTCTCGGGGTTTTTTGGCCCTTCGTTGATATTGTTAAGACTGCAGTGCTCGTGAATCTAGCTCAAATGAGTCGAATATCGGAGGTATTGGCGTTTATTTTGCAGATCAAAGGTAAACATGATCTCTCTCTCCGCCGCCGCCACCACCAACGGCAGCCGCTAGCTACAGTACTCTCCGCTTTTTTTTTTTTCTCCTTCATAACCGTTGATCTGGTTTTGTCTGATCGGGTTGAATGCCGCCTCTCTCTCTCTCCCCCCCTCCCTTTAAAAAATGCATCTTCCCTAACCAAAATAAAATCAGTGCAATGACGGGGAGGGGAAGGGGGGGTGGTGTGGAGGAGAGCCCGGACTTCCGAATCTTTTTAACTTTTTTTGCACCTCTCCTTTTCCACGGATTCATTGAAATATGGAACCGCGGGTTAGCGGAGGAATTCAAACTATGCGTCCGGCGCTGTAATTTTAGCGGCGATGTGCTTGCGGTTGAGCGGGGGGCTGTTTTAAAAACGCGGCCTGGGCGCCTTCTGGTTGACGCGGCCACATGAGAGAGAATCGGGCTCGAAACGGGACGAGAAGTTGCCCTGCGAGCTCACGCTGGTGCCTGATCAGCGAGCGGAGAGCCGCTATTTTGTCTGCTCTTTGCAACAGCAACAACACAAAAAAAAGATGCCAAGCTGAGTAACAAGCTCGTTTGTGGTTAATCTGTTTAATGTGATAATGGTGTTACTTAATGGTGGTGGTGGGGAGATAAAATGAATTTCAGTAAAGGGGCTAATATTATGCATCGCCCTGGGCAAATTGTCCTTTCTTTTTAAAATAAGAGCGGGATTGGTTTTGCACGTCCCTACGATAATTTTGTCAAACAAAAAAAAAAAACTTCGTTCAGGTTTCAAAATGGGAGTTAGGCGCTACACGCTGTTGATGTGCGGAGAGCGACATGGTTACATGGTGTTCCCCGGCGATCGGTTTTTGATTTTTGCGACTGGGAAACGGGAATCGGGCAAATTGTTGATCATGGGGAAAGAGAGAGGAGCGCGGCTGCGCCAGCCTTCTCCTGCCCCGGTAACCAGACGGGCAGTCCGCACTCGTCGTTTTCGAGGAGGGAAAAAAAAAATGAAGCGGGGGGGAATCCTCTTCCCAACATCTGGAGCGAGTGCCAGGCGCCTGTTAAAAATGCCGTAGCGGAATTGTGAAATCCAAGCTCGCCTGTAGCTGCCGAAGATGACTCACGAATACGTGCTCCGGGGAAGGAGGCGAGGGCAGGTTGCACTCGTCGAGGTACCCCAGAGGAGACTGTAGAAGTCGGGTGGGCTGGTCAGGGGTTGAGCATTTTCGGCAGCCGCCGGGTCTGTACTTTGTGTGCGTGAATGTATATTTTTGGGGGGAGGGTGTAAACTTTCTTGCTTCCAAAACGCGACTGCAGGTGGGCTATCCCTGGTTGTTCCAGGCCCAGAGCACGGTTTCATCAGCCTGGACTCGGATGATAAAATTTGGATGCCTTTATCACTGTACTATCTTCTGTGTCTCTCCTGTGAGCATCAGCAGTCTAAAGAACACACCTTTTTTTAAAAAAATCCCCAATTCCAGCCTGTCTTGCAGTTAATTTTCATATGTAGTTGTACATACACCTGTAGGATAATAGATCTTGTGATGGATTTTGGACTGTTGTAGTCTATATGATACAAATTCTACCCTGGTTTCTTGTTTGTTTCCAGTTACAAGGAAACGAAATCTTCACAGTGTCTGTGGCGGATATTGTTAGTGGAGAAAGTGAGGGAGCTCTTGATATTGTGAAGCCACAGTTGGGTCACCATGTTGAGTTGACCTTAGAGCTGTTAAGGAGGTAGTGAGCAGCAATTGCGTGTAAATGCCCTCGTGGGTAAAATGACAAGATGAAAATGCTCAGAATGTTTTTTTTTTTTCGCTAGCAGATTAGCGGTAGTTCCGTTAGAATCCCATGAATTGTTTTGTGCTGCCCAGTCCTTGGTTCAGAAAAAGCTGGATCAGTTGACCTTAAAACTCAATTACACTTTAATCACTTTTCACGTCAACTACTGTTGAATCTTCTGACACCCCAATAACGTGGGGCTGGGTGGGGTGCAG